GCCAAAGATAATGCAAATTATTCAAGCAGGACTATTTGCTTCATAGGCAATATCTTTCTCTGAAATGGATATGTAATCATTGTATTTCTTTGGCGGAGGAGTGCTCCCGCATATTAAGGGGAGCAGTGCTGAAGGGAGGAAACGAAACGGAGCCACCAGTTACAATCAGGATCTCCGAATGCGAGGGGGCAAACAACCAAAAACAACCGTTATCCAAAATGTAAATACGGTAGAGAAAACAGTGCAAATCCAAAAGACGAATCCAGTTAAGACCGCAGAAATGGCCACTCGAAGCACTGGAGAAAGGATAGAAAAGAATAAAGCAAACACAGCAAGTGCTTCTATGTAGAACAAAGCATGTATTGCTGCACAATATCTCGGAGCCTACCATACAGGATAGTAAGGTTAGACATCAATACGATAGGAGGCATGTCCAAGATATGTTCAGGCCAGCAGGCCTTCCCTCACAACGTGTTGCATAAAATGCCACCGCGTCGGTCTTTGGAGGGAATTTAAAGCGCAACAACGAAGAACCATATTAGTGGTCTTCAGGAGCACATATATGAGAGATCTGATGCTAGCAAAAGCAACCAGAATGGAGGAGCTATAAGAGTAACTCCAGACGACGGAAAAGTTGAAATCGGCCGCAAAGGGACATCTGCATGGGTAGAGCGAAAGGCAAGGAACCCCAGGTAGTAATACAAAAGGGTGAGCACATTAATGGTGGGGCGAAACCCCATCCTCACCTGTATGAGAAACAGGTCAAGCAGGTGACCCCCTCAGCTGTCTCACCGCTAAGCAAATCCACACCACGTACGATGAGGCTGGGGAAAAAAGCCGTCAGAAATCACCAAACCAAAGGCGGACCAACAAAAGGAGGCCACGGGAAAACCGAAAGCCGGTCAATACCCCCAGGAGTAGAAACTCCGAGGATGAATTGCCGACGGAGACCTGGGCAACCATTGTAGCTAGAACACCAAATGGAGGACCAAGCCCGAAGAGGCCGAATTCTTTTCATCATAGGAATGGGTCGACAGAGAAAAGCCCAGGACTGGCTGTTGGGAAAATCATCAGCTCACCAGGGGGTATAACTTGGGCAGTGATTTAGTCCACAGATGCAAATAAGTCGACAATTGAGGATGAATTTTCAGCATATTCGACAAGTTACAGTGAGGAAAACGTTAAGCATTGGAAACAAGAAGAAATATACATTTACTAAATGTAAAACAGACGGATTAGATAAAAGTCTAATGTGACAGATGATTGTTCAGGTCAGTAATAATATTTGCTCGGTTGACCAAGATACGACCAAAATAAGGGATCATGCTGTTTTTTGAGTGTGATGGTGCGTGCACAAAGAATCCGAAATTGGGAACGGGTACTCGGATGAGACACCGATTTATTGCGATGGGAGTGCAGGCAGTTTTCTTCATTGGACGCGATATGGCTGATAAATCGAACGCATGAATCAAAATGCTTGCTCACAATAAAGTCAATCAAAACGGTCTTTGAAATGCCACTGCAACGAGAAAGAGGTTTAAGAGATCTGGAAAAGAGAATAAAATCTTCTTCCTTCAGACCAGGAAAATATACGGGAAACAGTACAACCTATGTGGAAAAATGCATGCAGTCACAAATTTAAGAATTACTTTTAAGGGAACACTGAGCTTTTTAAGCCTAAAAATGTAGAAGGATAGTCCACGAACCCGAATATAAACGTTTTCAATATGTTTGGACCAAGAAAGATTGCGTGACAAAGTGACTCCAAGATATTTCACAGAGTTAGCCTTGAGGATGGTTTTACCATTAAAGTACAGGCTGATTACTCAAAAGAGTTTGATAAGGCATGCCTGTTTTAGGGGTAAAAGAAACATCCACAAATTTATCTGCATTTAGCAATAAAGATCGAGAAGTCGACCATCTAAAAATGTTACTTAGATAAACTTGAAGTTGACAGAAATAATCAGGAATAGTCGACCACCACGTCATCAGCACACTTGCAGGTGATAAAGTTGGGAGGATTAAGAGAAGGTCGTTAATATACAATAAAAAAAGAAATGGAGACAAGTTAGTTACATCTACTGGGGAGGACCAATCTGTCACCCCTGTGGAAGTCCTGAATGTACTCAAATCTCTTGAATCTAACAAGGCACATGGCCCTGATTTGTTGTACCCCTTCCTACTGAAAGTGTGTGCTGAACAACTTGCTTCACCTATGTCCGAGTTGTTCTATTTGTGTATGTCATCTAGAAGCATCCCTGATTGTTGGAGAGCTGCTCGGATAACCCCAATTAAGAAAAAGGGATCTTCCAAATATCGACCGATTGCCTGCACATCATCATTATTGAAAGTTTCCGAAAGAGTCCTGTTTAAGCGGCTGACCCTTTTATTTGTCACCCGTGATCCTATTCAGTTCGCATACAAACATTCGCTTTCCTCTCTTGATGCTGTTGCACACGTTGTTCACTCCGCTTCATCCTTATTGGATAAAGGGGTTGGCATCGTCCGTCTGACTTTTCGTGATTATGCCAATGCTTTCTGATCACTTGACTGCGGAATTCTGATTCAACGTCTTTCGCATTATGGTCTGGCACTTAATGTGCTGAATGTACTAATTAATTGCCTATGAAGCAAATAGTCCTGCTTGAATAATTTGCATTATCTTTGGCCGAACCATGCCCTGCACCTATCACACTGGATACCATTTTGCACGTGTTCCTGACACTGACTGGTTCCACAGTGGTCACGTCTGAGTGCCACTTTATCAACAAGTTAAAATGAACCGAAAAAAGAACAAAAAAGACTCGTAACTGTACGGCAAAAAGTCCCAAATGGACAACCTCTAAAACTTCCAAACAGTAAAAACAGTTAATAATGACTAGTCAAAACGAGTCAGAGTTCAGTACTATGAAATATCCTGTGAAATGTCACGAGTAAAACACAAAACAGTAAAAAGCAAGTGACTATAATATGAAATCTCCCGAGAAATTTCACTGTAACTTGGCAAAACGAATCAAGACCGAGAGCAATTTATAAATTCAAACCCCGCGCGAGGTACGTACCGCTTCGTCCTGATCGCATGTGAATGACCCAAGAGCATGAGAGAGGTCCAATGGAAGCTTGTATGCCTGAATGTATGTGTGTGTGAGAGAGAGAGAGCAATGCTTGATGCTGGTCATGTGTGTGATGTGATAGGTTTGGTTTGTGCTTGCTGTTAGTGCTGGGATTGTGAGAAGGGTACCCCCGCTCCGGGTTTCGCACCCTGGCCGCTTGGGTGAAAGCATTTTTCTTCAAGATTCTGCTGGCGTTTTGGAATGGCTGTTTGTTGGTTATTCTGTGCCATCACAACTTTGCAACTTATCGCCGGGTGCTCCTCGTTCAATAATTATTACCGATGATCGAACAGTTTTGTGCTATTTTTCATGCTTATCCCGCGCCACCCACCCGCTCAAACGTTGTTATGAAAAATTCCAGACGGAATGGCCCCAGGTGTGGCGCGATGGCAGCTGCATCGAAGTGACTGTAATGCAGTCCACGAAATAACGGAACGGCCCCTTGGTTTTTGATACATTTTCTTTCTTATGTTCGAAAGCGTCAGTTTAGTCGGGGTGGCTGTCTTGGATTGTGACTGGTCAACATTCCGTTACACCTCGCGAATGCTCTTGTATGACTGAGTGTCTCGAATACTATCTGCTGAGGAAGCCCTATTCACTAGATTCCCGTTTAGGACGAGTTTTTTTTTCCACCAAAGTGAGAAAACGAAATGTCTACATCCGGGGCTATAACGGGGTTGGTCAACCATTGACAGTTCACCTAGTGGAGTTCACCAAAAACTCTGATTCCGAACCAACCAAGAGGAGGCGTACGAACCGTACGCATACTTCGCTGGCGGCGCAGTGGTCATCGGCTTAATTGGGCATTAAAGTGTATTATGCATCTTGGACGTTTGATCCTGTCCGAAGGGTGTATGATCCGATGAACTGAACACCGACCCCCAATGGACTGCGGATTCTGAGCTCCATCCTGTTGTCTATCCGTTCTACCTTTCTAGCTAAGTCAATGCACAAGAGATGGGTGCAGCGAAGTTTCATCGATGCCAATGTATTGAGGCGCTTCGTCATTCTTCCATCGCCCAAACCTATTGTCCATTTTCATATAGTTCTTTTTAAATGACACTCTTAAGGTTAGTCACAGGGTTAAAGTTAGGACTGTGTAGCTCACTGTGCTATTTTAATGTTTTGATATAAAGCCTATGGTTTTGTCGAATATGACCCATGTACGGAGGTATTTTCCCGTTGAGAAACAGAATTTAATGTGATTTTCTGAAGCAGATGGTATTAAGAAGTGTTTACATCAGATATGGATGAGGATCTGAACACCGCGTTCCTATTTGACGAGAACATAGTCCGTACAAACTACCGTCGAGCGCGCGTGCAAACTGAATTACTTCGGTGTTTTGGAAAAGTCATACCAATAGAAAAGAAAGCTATTCCGACTAAACTTTTTCTCATTAGTGAAATGTGCCAGTCCAGAAATGTGGTCAGTCCGTGCGACGGATCGTCCTCCTCGTCTGTAACGCTCATGCGCCTCAGTTGTTGCAACTCTTGGATGTTTTATCAGCTTCCAATCCTGAAGTTTACGTGTGCATTTTCGCTTTTGTTATACTCTCCGAACAGTGACCTTCCGGGTACGTTGAGCCATTTTGATTGCATTGATGTACCGATTTGAAGCGCATCGTAGTAACTGCCCGTGTACGTGTTGACATCATCGGACGTCTTCCCCTTCGCCTTAATCTTTCCTTTGAAGTTCACATTGACAACGGTTTATTGGCTTTTGACTTTAGTGAATTAATTAATTAATTAAAAGATATAGGGAGTAAATTTCAAGTCTACATGGTGGGAGACAGCAGTCACCAGGGGAAACTGGGGATTTCAAACAAAGAGAGAACGGATCGAGGTGGTTAATGATCACCTTGTCCAGAATAGCATTTTGTGGAAGTGATGTCTAAATTTTATAGACCAAATTCAGTCAAGGGAAAGTAGAAACGTGATCAAAACAACAAACAAACATTGAATCAGTAGAGGCACCCGGAGGAGAATGAAGCAGTCAGGGTATAGAGGGTAATATCAACTTGAGAACAAAATGGTGCAATGTAAAAATTTGAGATTACAGTAAAGCGGGAGGACGAAAGTTTTGGGCTACAGGATAGGGTCGGGCAATCTATGAGCATCACACATTGAATGCACTCCTTATGGTTATTCTTCTTCCGGGTTCACGTTATTTTCATAGTCTCCGTCAATGTGAATGTGCGTTTCGTCTGTGCTCATTGTTGACATACTGGTTCGAGTTCTTCTTGTAAATAATGTTCAGTTGCGTGTTGAACCGAGTCTAACGTCAATCGTATAAACTGAAGAAGTACGCTGGACATAAGAACTTTTGATACACCACATTGACAGGATACACCAAAAGCAATTAGTTTATCTTTCTAACGATCCTAATTTTTAGGGTGATTTATCGTCTCTGTAAGTTCCTTTCAATCTTTTCTTTTTTTTTGGGGGGGGGGTCCAGTCGTATTGCAATCGGTTTCATTTGAATTTACATTCTGCATTAACCGAGCACTTCGCGATCCATCCCATTAGCTAACTAACTCCCTTATTTTTGTCTGAAAAGAATTCGTGAACTGTGCCTCATGCATCAATGTGCTTACGTGTCCGGGGCCCCCGATTGGGAATGTCATCTAGCCGAAATTGTTTGCACAGTCAAGTTGATTAGTATTGGTCTGAATCGTTATGACTCTTTGATCGATCTAGATTTAGGTCAGTTATTGGTCTGATTAGGTCCTCAGTTGCCACTTCGGACTGTCGAAACTTTGAACCGAGCGAGAGCACATCAGTGATAGTGCTTGTCGGTACCTTTATTTCGCTTTAACCATCGGTTTCCAACCCGATTATGTAACAACAAGCATCTGGAAAACAACCATTTATAATGGTCACAACATTCATTAAATGGGTGTGATTTACTAATGCGAGCTCATATTTCAACCCTCTCCACTCTCTCTCTCTCTCACTGTATTCTACATCCCCCCACCTCCCGTATACTTGATTCGCATGATTGTGCCGTATTTGGTTATTTAGTGAAACACTAAAAATGTGCTTGGTTTTCCTTTGACACAATTCAATTCTGTGCCGAAAAAGTACGTTGATTTGTAAACGGAGCTAGGAATGTTATTGGTCTTCCAAACCTGTTATCGGTAACGACGCGTTCTATGTATTTATGTGATGTTTGCTAGCATGACTGTAGCTCATTCCTGTTCAGGACGTTCTTTTCTCTGTGAAATGGCCACTCAAAACTGTGTTTTGAATAGAGTCCAAACTCCCATTAGTCTGTTTCGATTGTGTCCGCACCATCTGACTGTTGCTCATCCCGTGTTTGCCCTCATACTGACTGCATCCAGACGTATCGAGCCCAGATTTGGTTCGATGGATCCTGGTCGATGTGGACGATGTCTTTTTGCACGGATCCGGAGTCGACTTCACTGTGCAAGATGCGGTGGCAAGTCGTGTCTTCCTCTAACCACACTCACCCCAACTCGGCATCATGTGGTTCAGTGTGCTTTACGGACTGGTTCTACTATTCTTCTGGTCAACGGTTTCCCGCATTCTCTGCTCTGAATTGCTTTATTTTTCCCCCTTGGTAGGCAATGCACGCGACCCAGTCGTATTGGCGCCGTCAAATCATCCCGGGTTTCCGGTTTAATTTAGGATTCTGTGGACATTTCTTTGAGCGAGCTAATCAATCAGACAGACCGGGATACGAGACAATTTTAAGTGAGTACATCCATGTCTTCTTAAAAAACCTTTGCAGTACTCACACACCTTGTTCCATCAAGAGCTATTCAATCAGGTAGTCTCCTCC